AGTTGAAGAGTCCTTTCCCTCCTGGAACAAAGTTGGAGTCCAGTGGCACCTTTAAGACCAACAAAGCTTTATTCTGGGTATAAGTTTTCATGCATACGAAAGCTTATATCCAGAACAAAACTTTGTTCTGCTGCCTCAGATCAACATGGCTACCCACCTGAATCTATTTCTCTCTTGGGTGAGAGTGGATAAGGAATGTCTCTTAGAATGGCTTCAAAGAGGCATTTTCTCCTCAAAGACATAGCTAGACATCTGCTTTTGTAAGTATTTACAATAAATAATGTTTTAAATCTGTTGCGTGATTAATCAGGGGTACCCTTCTAACAGATCAAATAGTTTTAAATCAATCAGCTAGATGTTGCAACCCTAAAGATATCTTCTGCCTGTTTAGACTCTTGCAAATATTTGAAATCTCCTTTTATTGTCTTGCTAAGCAGCAAACTAATTATACTGACTGCAGTGCTCTATTGACTGAGTTGGGGACTAAGTGATATCCCCAGTCTCATCCAAGCTTTACCTGTCAAGAAAGAACCCACTTCTCAGAAAAACAGAGTTATCCTCCGCCAATATTTTAGGCAAATAAATATGGGGGGGGGGGGAGAGACAATCACAGCACTTATAAATTAGAGCAGACAAATCCGTTTCTCGACTCCCGCCTGCAAAGAGCATTCTATCAATATAGCGAAATGCTAATCTCCTAATTAACAACCTAATTAGGTAATTATGGCTTTGCAGAGGGACGCCTAAATGAAATATGACAACATGGTCACCTCTTTATACGGCACCTGTGGGCCTTTTCAGCTGTCACTGCGAAGAGTGCAATATCAATTGGAACAGATGACAAAGCGGTGTCATTTTTCATTCCAATATTGCACTGAACAGTCCGGGATGGTAGCAGTTTAAAAAAAGAAAGAGAGAGACAGAGAGAAAGAGAAAGAGAGAGTGTCTTGCTTGATTTAGATGTGTTTGGGGCCATTTGCTAAATTTCTTTGAACAGACAGGAACTGGATTATAGCAGCAGGACCAGATAAGGTGCTCAGAAACTACCATCATCCTCACAAAGTGCCTCTGGATGTTTCCTCCCCCACAAGTGTTGTAAAGGCAACTTCACGACAAGCCTGTGAGGTAGGTTAGCTTGACTGAAGGGATGTGAACACTGGTCTCCTCTGGTTATGTCACACTGGCTGTTGTTCACATGTTGTTACATGTTTATCCTCCCATGTTAACATTACACTTATTTAATAGGTTACACTAGACTGAGATATAGGGACTTGCCCCACCCAGTACGCGTCATAAGGAAGCTGCCTCGTGTCGTCGATCATTGGCAGTATTGTCAACTCTGATTGGCCCATCAGCTTTCCACAGCCTCAAGCAAGTGCCTTTCTCCACTTGCCCATAATACTCTGGGGCATCCAAAGAACTTGACTGGCATTAGATTCAGTACAGGCAAAAAAAAGAAAGAAAAGTACTTCTTTGCACAACTCATAACTAACTTGTGGGACTCACTGCTACCTCATGTGGCAATAGCCATGCATTTAGATGGCTTCAGAAGATCAGACCAAATAATGGAGGAGAAAAGTTTCACCGATGGCTTCATCAGTCACTGTGACTCAACAGAACCTCCATGCTTTCAGTCCCTTATCGAAATAATTTCTCAAGTGAAGCTGCCTTATACCAGCTCATAAGAACATAAGAACATAAGAGATGCCAATGTTGGATCAGGCCAAAGGCCCATCCAGTCCAACACTCTGTATCACACAGTGGCCAGAAATACCAGTGCCATCAGGAGGTCCACCAGTGGGGCCAGGACATTAGAAGCCCTCCCACTGTTGACCCCCCCAAGCACCAAGATGACAGAGCATCACTTGCCCCAGAGTCCCTATCTATACCTTGCGGCTAATAGCCACTGATGGACCTCTGCTCCATATGCTTATCTAATTCCCTTTTGAAGCCGTCCATGCTTGTAGCCGCCACCACTTCCTGTGGCAGTGAATTCCAAGCAGCCATTGGTCTGCTGTGCCCAGCTCAGCAAGGTCTACTCTGACTTGCAGCAGCTCTCCAGGATTCCAAGCAACACAAGTTCTTTCCCAGACCTGCTACCCAAGAGCTTCTAACCAGACTGAGGCACCACAAGATCCTCCTTAAATGGAGATGCGGAGATTGAACCTGCGGCCTTCTGCATACAAAGCATGCATTCTAGTGCTGGACCACAAGTCCTTTTCCTAGGGGCAGACCCTGATGACTGTTCCAAGCCCCACATCTTTGCAAAGTTTGACAGAGCTCTGAACAGGCCTCATTACAACATGGAGTCTTTGCATGAGTGTTCCTAAGAACAGCGTGAAAGTTAAAAAAGCCAGTTAAGACACACTCTCTAGCTTGCATCAGACTCAAAATGTTGACGGATGACCCCTACACACACATCATATGCAACGCACGGCAGTCTATGCGCACCATGCATAACCAAACTGTCTCGCAGAGGGGAAAGCTGGAGCAACAAGGTTGCACAGATGTAAGAGCCAGACTAATCAACAGCTCATCTGCAGACTGGAGAAGCAGCGACCTAAAGCACCCACACCGGGAGTTGCAACAAACGCACAAGCCTTGTCTAGATAACTGTTTGACAGCTTCATCATAATAAACCACTTAAGAGCACAGAGGCTGCCTTCCGATACTCCCAGGTCTCAGCAACCTTGGACTGGAAGATGCAGCAAAGAGTTTAGAAAACAGTCCAATCAAGCTCACGCTCTCTTCCCTAACAGAAAGGCACAGGGCGAGTGCTGCCTGTCTCTGAAGTTCTTGAAGATCAAAAAGAGGGGAGTCACAAGCTGGAGGTATTCTATGGCTGTGATCGTACACACTAAACAATCCATTTTCAACTCACTTCCAATGCACTTTCCAACTGGATTTTGCCAGTTTACACAGTGAAATCCAGTTGAAAGTGGATTGAAAGCGGATTATTAAGTGTGTGTGACTGCAGCCTATGAGTCTGCAGCTTTTCCCACTGCAACAAAACCAAGCACTGGACAAGGTTTGAAGAGACCGTTGAAATTGGTCTTGTACAATAGCACAAAAATTTCACTGCCTTGGGGACCGTACTTGGGTAGAAAGGCAACATCGAAACATTTTAAATAAATACAAGCAAAGCAGAACTTTGTGAACAATATACTTTATTCAGATTACATGATACTACATCTCTGTTTATCTGGCTTCCTTTCTAGGCAGAGTAAAGAAAGAGAAGAGACAAGTTTTCACTGAAGCCCAGTTTTCACATGGATTTTTTAAAAAAACTTTCAATTTCTAGACCGCTCACCCCCGAAGGGCTCTGAGCGGTTTACATAGTAAAATTTACACTTCTAACTAGGGCCACACACAGTATTGGGGAGGGGAATGCCTACCAGGCACCCTACCGGCTAGCTGTTCTTCAGCGGCTCTTCTCTCCTCTGCTTCTGCGTGGTGGCTTTGGCTTGGCTCTGTAGTGGCTCCTGCTGGGGTGTCTTGCTCAGCCACCCTTTTAGCTCTGGAGATTTCATTAGGTGCGACTCGTGTTATTTCATGGCCGTCTCCATCTCCATAAGGGCTAGAAACTTGCTTTCTTTTAAAAGTGCCTCCTTCTGGGGACACCTTCCTCGTGCCCTACTGCCCATCACAGAGCCCTGCTAGGAGCACAGATGTGCTCCCGAGAAGCAGCTTTGGTCACAGATGCTCAGAGCCAGTTTGACTTTTGGGAGTCTGAACTGATGGCTGATGTTAGACTGATACTACTTAGGAATTAATAACTCTGCAATTTCTATCTATCCATACATTTTTATCCCACACTTCCTTGAAGGAGCTCACAGCAGTACAGTCAGTCCCCCAACCCCATTTTATCCTTACACCACCACTGGAGGGTAGGTTAGGTTGAGAGAGAATGACTAGTGCAAGATCACCCAGTGAGTTTTAGGACTAACTGGGGATTTCAACTTGGATCTTCCCATCATAGCCTGACGCTCTACCCGGTACATTAATACGCCACTAGACAGAGCAAGAAAAAAATGGAGTGTGGCCAGTGCCACTAGTGCTATACGAAGCTGCAAACTGGGGTTTTTCTGGGTGATTTCCCACAAGCGCTGCTCCGCGCTCACTCTTCTCTTTGGCCCGATGGTACGTGTCAATTTCACAAAAGCTGCTGCGCGGCTGCATTTTGCCTCGCAGCTTCGTGCGATTTTCCCCGCGTCTACTCAATCCTGTTTTTTGAGGACTGAGTAGATTCGGGGAAAATCACATGAAGCTGAGGGGCAAAATGTGGGCGCGCAGCAGCTTGTGTGAAATTGACACGTACCATTGGGGCAAAAGGGAGGAGTGAGCGCGGAGCAGCACTTGTGGGAAATCACCCTCTGTCTTCTTCTTACCTTACGGGTTGCTTTGCTCTGCTTCCCATTGTGGTGGAAAACAAGCGGAGGAATCAATCTCTGCCACTCCTTCTCGGGAACTGTCAATCAACCCAAGCTGTCTAGACTAGAGATGCAGGACTTCCTTATTTTAAAAACGCAAAATCATGTCTATGGATAGGGGGTCCTAAGCAAAGCAACAGGTTTCTGAACAGCTACTGTAGGCCAGTGAAAAACTGGGTGGTGGGGAGGACAGCATGACATGTGAAATATTGCACAAAATGGAGAAAGAAGGATGCAAAATAGCACAGTCTTGTGAGAAATAGCCGGGCGCCGGCAACAGCAAGCCAGTCAGCATTCTGAGTGAAGAATGATGAGCAACAGTCATGCCAGGCTGCCAACTAAAAATAAATGTTTTTACGTTTCCCAAGATTAGTCTCTTCATCAAGGTGTAACATTTGTTCTAGAAATCTGTGCAGGCTCCTTAAGACAAACTCTTTACTGTTAAAATCTCAAGATTGGGATGCAAAGAAAACTGACTTTGAGGATTTTTTGGGGGGATTCCCTCTCTTCGTGGGCCCCTGTGTTGCTCTTTATCGGGTAGCAAGCAAGCGAATCACTCGGGAAGCCTACCTTTTGCAGAAGTTACTTTATCAGCCTTTGAATGACCTGAACACACGACATCATTTTCAGGGAGGACAGAAAGACCTGCAGAGATGAGGTGGGAGTATTTCAGTTTGACAAGTCAATGAAATTTTGTTTCTCAACATCCCTAATTTATGGAAAGCTGTAATGGGAACCATAGCCTATTCGAATAGCCATTAACTTTTCAAGCTGTTACACATTGGTTGCTGGACAGGCTACGCCATAATATCAAGTATTTCAGGAAAGAGGTTCCACAAATACAGTGAATGTGTTATGAAAGACCTCTTCCCTTCCCCAAGGTCTCAGGGTGATGCATGGAGCTGGGAGGGGGGAAGGAAAAGGAAGAGTGTCCTGCTTCATGCCATGCAGCAGTGAGAAACCTCCCTCCTCACAAGACTTCTGGTATGCACAGAGGACTCAAGGGAAAGGAGGACCTCTCACTTTGTACCAGGCTGGTTGAAAATCTGACTGATTCTGACCAACCCTCAAGCCCAAAGTTGAGACATTAAGCCCCCTGGAAGCTGAGGAAAGGGGGAAGGGTCCTTTTCTTGCCTTGCGCTGCACTTTAGAGGCACTCGGAAGCAACAGATACAGTGGGGCTGTGGTTCAATGGTACAGCATCTGCTTCGCATGTAGAAGGTTCCACCTTCCATAGAAAAGATCAGGTCCCAGTGATGGCGAAAGACCTCTACCCATCGACTGACCCTGACAGACCAATGGTTTAACTCAGTGTAAGGTAGCTTCATGTGTTCAAGAGATATTCTAATCTTGACACATCTGAATATCTCCTAGACCCAATATGGAAGAGGCTGACTTCTCTGTGAGAACTCAGGGTGATTGTGTGGGGGAGTGTTAAGAGGCTACTAATACTGAGTCAGATCAATGGTCAATAGGATTTATGTTAGCCACAAAATTGGCCCATAGGTGGGGTGTGTGTGTGTGCTTTCGAATACCCTATATCTCTCTCAGCTTTCTATGATGTAGTCATTCCTAACAGTGCCTGTGTCTATGCTACCACAGTGCTAACAATAAAGTAAAACCTTCGAAGAAGCGTGTGCTCTGTTGTTTGACTGTGGGTCTTGACAGTTTGGAACCTCAGCAATCAGCTGCCAGTCAGAGAAGAAGACATCCTCAACCAGATGGACTGATGGTCTGATGCAGCTCTGTATAAAATCATCTTTTGGGAAGGGGCTGAGATTCAGTGAAAAGGTGTCTGGTTTACATGTACTAGGACTCAGGTTCAACCCATCACATTTTCAGTTAAAAACATTCCAGGCAGAAGGTCATCTTCCTAAGAGAGCTGCTGCCAGCTGTAGCAAACACCACTGCGCTACGCAGACCAACTCAGTCTGTGTAAGGTTGCTGTGTATGATATGCCTCAAGCACAGATTCTAGAGAGGAGGTTCTCACAGGTAAGGATAAAACTGGAGATACTTGCATTGCATCCATTACTTTCCACATAATTTTTGTCTAGTTAATTTTAAGCTCTCGCTACATAAAAGCCAGTTCCCAATATTCCATCACACCCAACCTAGAAACAGACACCTAGGTGGGCTACGTATTTTATTGACTGGACTACGCAAAAGAGCACACCCTTTTAATTTCTCCTGTACAAAGCAATGTTTCCCCCTAGAAATTAGCAGTCAATCATTGCACTGCTGGGGGGGGGGGGCAAGGGCAAAATTTGCCTTCTATCTCTGATGCCAGGCAGAGGAGCCCTTGCTTGCAGGGAGCCCACAGAGGATGCAGTGTCTTTGTGCATGTGAGTCTCCTCTCCACATACAACACACTTCTGTACAGCCTGTACAGGGAAGCCCCTAGTTCAATCCCCAACAAGCAAACAAGTAAGCAGGGTCTTCTTGAAAAGTTGCTACCAGTCAGAGTAGACAAATACTGGGTTCGACCAACCAGCAATCTGAATCAGTATACAGCAGTTTCAAAAGTTCCTCTACATTCACACCAGCAGACACTTGGGTAGTAAATTCTCTGATAACAGAGTTCATTCTAGCAGGTTAATACATGAGATAGGAGATAGGACTTCAGCCTATCCTTACATTAAAGGCGAGTACCCTATCCATTGTGAAAATTAACTGCACTGGGATTAAATGACTGCATATACCAAAAGATATCTGAAACGCCTATTTCATCCCAGGTACCAGGTTGTCATATGCACCTAGAAATTTCATTGTGGCAACCTAGTATTTGTTGTGGGTTTTGTTGTTGTTCAGTCGCACAGTTGAGTCCGACTCTTCGCGACCCCATGGACCAGATCACGCCAGGCTCTCCTGTCTTCCGCCGTCCTCTGAAGTTGGCTCAATTTCATGTTCGTTGCATCGCTGACACTGTCTAACCATCTCATCCTTTGCCGTCCCCGCCTTCTTTGACCTTCAGTCTTTCCCAGCATCAGGGTCTTCTCCAGGGAGTGCTCCCTTATCATTTGGTGGCCAAAGTATTTGAGCTTCAGTTTCGTTATCTGGCCTTCCAGGGAACAGTCAGGGTTGATTTCTTTTAGGATTGACTGATTTGATCTTCTTGCAGTCCAAGAGACTCTCAAGAGTCTTCTCCAGCACCATAGTTCAAAAGTCATTAAAAAATATGGTCATATATAAGCCTGAAGGCTGAAATATGAGTCTGGCTCCTAAAGAGCTGGTTTCCAGAGCTAAAGAAAACCTGTATATATAGCCTTCTCTGGAAACCACAGGAAGCATTCTGCTGTCAGGACCCATCCAAAAATGGCAGAATTCCTATATGGAAAGCACACATTGTCAAATGACTCCAGGAAATTCTGGGCGTTGGTGTCAGATAAACACAAAAAGAAGAGTGCCCAAATAAATGCCATCACCCCAGTTCACTGGTATTACTATTTTCTGAATCTGTTCTATGATAATAACATAACTGCCACTAATTCCATTAACTATACGGCATCAGAATTAGATGATATTCCCTAATGGCCTCCAGTGAGACCAGAGGAGGTTATTCCACTAATTGAACAACTAAAGCCAAGAAAAGCTCCTGGCCCAGATGCAATTCCACCTGAAATAGTTAAAATAAATCCGGACTAGTGGGCCACCTTCTTGGCAGATTTTTTTTACCATAGTCGATAGAACAGGAATAATGCCAGAGTCTTGGACAAATGCAATACTGGTTCCCATCTTTAAAAGGGGTAATTATCAGTTACCATCCAATTACTGTCCAATAAGCCTCCTCTCTGCTATTGGGAAACTTTATGCTAGACGACTGGTTAATAAAATTGGATCTTGGATGTTAGAACAAGGAATTCTGGGTCAAGAACAAATAGGTTTTTGTAAAGGGGAATCCACCCTAAATCACTGTGTGACTCTTATGCACCTTGTTAATAAATATAAGAGGCAAAAAGGCACCAAAGTATACGCAGCCTTTCTAGATCTAAAAGGTGCTTTTGATTCAATCATAAGAGAACGTCTTTGGGAGAAACTTAAGTTGATGGGGATGGAAGCGAGGCTTTTACATTTAATAATGAAGCTTCATCATAATATGACCTGCCAAGTTAGACTTAACAATATTGGTGACCTAACTGACAAAATTCCAATCAATATAGGAGTCAAACAGGGCTGCCTTTTTGCACCCTTTCTATTCAACCTATTTATAAATGATTTGGCACCTACCTTAGATCCGATCAATGGTTCACAGTCCTAAACTTGGCTTGATCCCCAGTCTACTTCTTTATGCTGATGACGCAGTGCTATTGTCTCTAACTCGTATAGGGCTGAAACGCCTTTTGAAGAGCTTTGTAGACTATTGTGAAAAGAATAGGCTAGTTCTGAATTTTGAAAAATCCAAAATTATGATCATCAGTAAGAGTTGGAAGCCATCCAGATGGAATATTGGAGGCCATTTCATTGAACAAGTCAAAAGCTTTAAGTATTTGGGTATCCACTTTTACTATAACACCAAATGGGTCTATCATAAAGAGAGAACAATTGAGGCAGCGAACAACATTGCTGTGGCAATTACAAGTTTCCATTATACCAGGGGTAACCAGTACGTGCCGGCGGCCCTTAAAGTTTTTAATGCCAAATTAGCTGCTCAATTATTCTACGGAGTACCAATGTAGACTGAAGCCTTAAATGGGAACTTGGAAAGAATTCAGTCCAGATTCTTGCGGAAAATTCTTGGACTTCCCTCTTGTGTTCTTTATGCAGCTTTATGCTTAGAAACCAATCAAAGGCTTCTATCGACCAGAGCATGGCTGATAACAACTCAGTTCTGGCTTAAACTTCATTTCCATGCTAATGCTAAAAGTATTATTACTTACATGTTAACTGAGTCCCATCTCTCTCCATGGCTTAGATATGTAGGAGAAACTCTCTACAATGGGAATATCCCCGGATTATTTAGCCCCCTTTTCAAATAAACAAGCCTATGCTACTATTAAACAAAGATTTCTTGACATCGAAAGGCAAGAATTTACGGAACGCGCAGCCACAAGATGCTCCCCAAGTAGGTTGGGGACTTTTGACATGGGCTCTACTGCGACGTATCTGTCAAGTTTAACAGCCCCACATCATTGCAGAGCAAACATGCTTGCACGCTTTAATGTTCTGCCATCAGAGGTGCTTTTAGGGAGGTACCGCCAGATACCATATGTAGACAGACTTTGCCCTTGCTCTCTAAAAGATATAGGATCCACTAAACACACCATACTTCATTGCCCCCTTTTTAAGGATATCCGATCTCATTTTATTACTCCACTTCTAGAGGGTAAGAGCTGGCATTCTGAGGACTCAGTTGTTCACTTTCTTCTGTTTCATTCTAATTGCGAAATAATGGAGGCTGTTGCAAAATTTTAATATTATGCAATCAGAAGACGAGGCTTGAATAGCCAAGTGTAAGTGACTGATGCACAGGCCTCGGATCGGGCCGGTACGTCGTTCCGGGAGAGAGGCGGGGCAGTCACATGGCGAAGCCCCGCCATCTTCTTCTGGCCGCCCTCTGCTTCCAGCCTCATTCTGTTCTCTGTGGCAGCTGCAACGCCCGCGGGGGGGGGGCGGCGATGTCAATTTCGGCCCCATTATATCCTATGG